TCGGTGTCGATTCCAAATGCACATCGACCTAAAAAATGACAGAAATCATAGCAATTAGGACGTTCTCATAACTTTCAAAATTTCCGTTTTTTTCTGTGTCTTGGAATGAAATATTTAAAAAAATGAATAGAAAAAGGCCATTCACCCCTTTAAATCAATTGCTAGTAGTATGTGATCTTCAGAAAAGTAGTTATCATGTGTTATGTGATTCTTTCATCTTTTTCTTTATTATAAAAGAGAAAAATACGCTTATAGTACGAACGAAAGAAAAGAACGAAAGAAAAGAACGAACTCAACGTAGGTCATTCGTTCGCATCACCTTTCGTTATCCAACGTACTTTAAATTTTGACGCATTAAGAACAAGAAAAAAGGTTGTGTGTCCATCTATATAAAGAGACGCAAGTTTTTTTGCTTTAACATTATTTTCTTCATTAGTGTTGTTAAATAAAAAAGTAAATAAAATGCTACTTCCCATGATTTTGCTTCTCGTATGCATTGGTCTCACGACCTATTATCTTTTTCTACTACGACAACGTTATCAATACTTTAGTCAACGCTGTATTCCCACGCCACCTTTCCGTTTCTTCTTTGGGCATTTTAAAACATTGTGGAATGCTACATCCTTCCACCGTCAGCTTGAAAGCTGGACGAAACAATATGGGAAGGTGTATGGAATTTATCAAGGAACTGTTCCTACCTTTGTAGTTAGCGATCCTGAATTTCTCCAAGAAGTTTTCGTCAAACAATTTGGCATTTTTCATGGACGAAGGGACGTTTTCGTAGGTAACAGAATTCAAAACGTCCTTTCTTCATCGGGCGCACAATGGCGTCGACATCGTCACGTACTAAATCCAACGTTCTCTGCAGCCAAACTAAAACTGATGAGTCCTCTTATTAATGGATGTATTAGTAATGTAATGGAAAAATTAGCCGATCATGTAACAAACGCCAGTGAATTCAATATCTACTTATACTATAAGCGAATGACAATGGATGTCATATGTAAGTATATCCTCACGTCTTCTTTTCTTTCAAGACAAAGGTAGAGGATGGTTGAGATTTCTTTCTAGTCGACGAATTTCGGCTTTTTTTCTGCCTTTGGATTTCTATCAGAACACGTCCAAGAACATTTCTGCACATGTAATAGTTCGTGAAATGTTACAATTGGATTTTTGAAGACTCATGTCTTCTGAAAGTATTTCGAGAAAATCTTACTTTTTATTTTTGTCACATCTCTTTAAACGTAGAATAGAACATATACCTCGAATGCTGTCAAATAATAAATCACAGAAAATTTTTTTTCATGGTTCATTACTCATTTTTTAATGGGTTTTGGCATTGTTAGAATTCGTGTTTACACAAAAGATCATACTTAATTCTTGTTACGTATGTTTCCCTTCGCCCCGAGTTCTTTCTAATAAAATAAAAAATGAAAAGTTTTTTAAATATTTCATTCCAAGACACAGAAAAAAACGGAAATTTTGAAAGTTATGAGAACGTCCTAATTGCTATGATTTCTGTCATTTTTTAGGTCGATGTGCATTTGGAATCGACACCGATTTACAAAACAATCCAAATAATATGTATTTCCAGAAAGTGGAGGAGCTCTTTGCTCGTAGCCTTAGATCGAATAGTTTTTTCAGAGTTGCTCAACTTGTGCCTGAGATAGGGCATGTCATTGGGAAAATCTTTTTTGGCATCAACACCGCACGAGTCTTCATCAATACGTATCTTTTATCCTTGATATCAAACAAACAGTTGTATGAACTACCAAATATGTGGCTCCTTAATCGACTACACCCAATTATCGATCAGCGACAGCAGACACCTACCTCACGAGTCGATCTTCTGCAACTAATGCTACAAGTGATGACTGAAGAGGCAGTTAATGTAAGTAACATCTATCAGACTTAAAAAGCATCTTCTTGGATACCGATTTACTTTAGATCTATTAATAGCCTTCATAATTCTTAGTAAGATACCAATAATTCAGACGAGTACAGAAAAACTAAACATTGTCAGATCTTATATGATTGAATAGATTCACGATATTTTTGATGAGTAATTCATTTGCACTTTTGTAAACCAAATTTTGGGTAGGAAATCTTTAAAATACAGATTGTTGTGCAAGACAAAAAACAGTTATTCTGAGAACAATTGAAATACCATCTGTTTGTTATAACACTCAAATATTTTATTCGCACTTGGGGTAGAAAACTGAGTACAATGAGAAGTACGAACGTGTTTACATCATTGTTAAAACTTTAGAATGACACAGGAAACCATAGGAAAACTTTTATTATAGTCTCTAGAAGAAACTACTGTGAAAAATAAAAAGTTCTCGCGTTCGGCTAAAGAGATTAAAGATAGTTATAAGTCCATTATAAATAGATTTCTCTTTTAGGATAAAGTGCAGGACAGCAGAAAGGCAAACTATCGGTTAACTAGAAAAGAAATTATCAGTAACATTTTTATCTTCATGGCAGCAGGATATGAAACAACATCAACTGCTTTGGCCTATGCAACGTATGAACTTGCCAGACATCCAGAAGTTCTCCACAAACTTCAGGCTGAAATTGATCAACTTCCATTAGACAATGATGATATGTCCAACGAAGAGACAAAAAAATATCTCGATTATGATATAGTCGCTCAGATGAATTACATGGACATGTTCGTTTCTGAGGTCTTGAGAATGTATCCCATTGCAAATACAGTCATTCAAAGACGTGCCTCCGAAGATACGGTCGTACAAGGAATTCAAATTAAAAAAGGTAACTAGACATTTTTATAATACCAAACACTTCGATCTTTTTCTTGACCATCAGGAAATCTTTAAGAATCGTAAGATAAGCTGCAGAGTTTTCCTTTTTTGAATTTTGACATGCATTCTAAAAAAGACTTTCGTTGATCTATGACAGTTGTATATGAACTTATGAACAGATCTGTGTGCGGGAATCAAAACTGAGAAGGCGAGTTATCTCTGCTTTTTGTATCGACTCCATGATAATTTTTATCCGAAAGTAGCTTCTCAAATTACATATCTTTTATCTTCTTAAGGTACCCTAGTACAGGCTGATGTCTATTCGGTCCATTATGATCGTGAACTTTGGGGTCCTGAAGATCCGTACGTCTTCTTTCCTGAGCGTCATCAAACAAAACGTCATCCAATGGCTTATCTACCGTTTGGAGCGGGACCACGACATTGTATTGGCATGCGCTTTGCATTGATCGAGATGAAGATTCTACTAGTGAGACTACTTCGCGAGTATTCAATTCTGCCAGGTGAACATCTCGAAAGCAAATTCAACATCCGTGAACGGGCAGTCATCACACCGGAAGAAGTTTGGGTCAAACTAGTGAAAAGAAGTGATTGACAGACAATCATACAATACTTAAAAATCTAAAACTTTACCTTTCTTTGAATAAATATGAAACAAACTTTGTACATGCTTCAAGAAAGATCTATTTTCAAACTATTCATAATGTATTTTATCTTTTGTCTCTTCTAACTAAATAATTAGTTCGATCTCTAAATCTGGTATTTCTCTCTCAAAACAAATCTGTATAGCTAGTGAGAAAATCTCTTCTAATTTTCTCGTCTCTTTATTTTCTAGAAAGATAGTATTATATGTGTCTAATGAAAATTCTTTTAGGTTGATCCTAAACTCAATTTGAATAAATTAATTGAGAAACTTGTGACAAATTTGCTGATTTTCAAGTTTTTCGAATATGACGAGACATGAAATCTTTCTAATAAACTATCAGATAACATTGGATATCAATCTATCTTAAGTTATTATGAATACAAATCAAATAATTGACTTTCATAACAAAGATTATTTACTGAAACTTTTCGAACTTTGGTTATCACATTTTTCTTTCATTGCGGACAATTCTTACTGAGGACAATTCTATCATATAAGAAGTTAAGTGTTAATGATCGCAATATTTGTTGATCAGTCAGACCAACTAATAAGATCCACTGACATAATGAAGATTGATTAATCAAACGGTAGAGTCAGGAACTTTATTAAAGAATCGATCTCTCGCATTTTCTAAAGGACAAAATATTACAATGGTCAAATAGACAAAAAAAATATTACTTTTTAATATTACGTCAAATTTTACCCATTAATCCTTTCCAAACACTTAGTTTTGTTTATGTGCAGTTTTCTAATAATAATCATTCTCTCACCAAAAAATGTGCCATGTAAAAGTAGAAATAAAAATGAAAAATGGTCTTTTTATATTTTATCAAGACATCTCATCACTTAACTAATCGAAAGACACAATTTATGTTGGATTTCAATTCTCATATTCTTCTTTTTTCTTTTTTAAGGATTATTGACAGCGTAAAATAACTGTACGTAAATGAGAAAAATTTCACATGTAATGTGTCACATGAAAACAGGAAATATAAACATAAATCACAATAATTAATTATCACATAGGACTTTTTTCTATACCGTTATCATGTATAATTTAGAATGGTCCATCAGAACGATTCATTGAAAAATATGTCATTCTGAGCATTCGATCTGAGTCT